TGAATAAATAAATAAAATCTTAAAAAAATAAATAAATAAATAAAATAAAAATAAAAATTAGCTCCATTCCAAAGAACCTTTTCTCTGGCATCATTTTGGTTTTGAGCCGTTCACAGTGAATGTGGTCTTCTCTCAAGAGAAAAGCACCTCGAGACTTAGAATGACACCCAACTTTACCAGCGTCCTCTGCTTAGTGTCATTTCGGCCACTCTTAAGGCTTTCAGAGCACACACTGCTCCTCGTCACGGAAGCCAGTCACTCTGTCTGGGACACTTCTGTGAAAAGCCATCATGCAGATCACATGTGCCCAGCCAGAAAGAACTACTGAGTATTTTGGCACAAACAGGTAGTGGGACAGTTCAGAGGAATTCCGTTATGTAACAGTCACCAAATATAAATTTCCTAGGCAATTCAAAGTCCTTTCATAATATGAGTGAGTCTTTACCCAGGGATGCTTTTTATGTTTATTTAGATCCCTTATATTTTGACAGCTTCATTGAAAAGAAATCTCCTCTAACACAACTTCAGACAGTCTGGGAACTGCCCGAAGAAACTATCAGCTTAATCATTAAAAACAAAATGGAAAGCCACAAGTGCTGGTGAGGAGGTAGGTACGCTGGAACGCTCACACACTGCTGGTGGGGAGGAAAGATGGTGCAGCCACCGTGGGAAGCAGTCTGGCAGCTCCTCAACAGGACCCTGGAATTCCACTCCTAGGTGTATACCCAAGGGACATGAAAACATGTGTCCACACAAACATTTGGACACAAATGTCCATAACAGCATTGGTCATAATACTGTACTGATGAACATACATCGTTCATAATGGCCAAACTGCAGAGACAACACAAACGTTCATCAACAGATGATGCACAAACTGTGGTCCACCCGTACAAGAGAATACGGTTCTGCCACAAAAAGGAATGAAGTCCGGATACATGCTACCACATGGATGAACTAAGTGACAGCAGACAGACACCAAAGGTCACATAGTGTAGAATCCAATCTCTATGAAAATGCAGAATAGGTAAATCCACAGAAGGAAAGCAAACTGGTGGTTTCCAGGGGCTGGGAGGGGAGAGGAAATGAGGAATAAGTGGTCTCCTTTTGGGGCAATGAAACGTTCTGGAACTGACAGTGGTGAGAGTTACACAACACTGCTCCTAAAGCCACCGAACCGTACACTACAAAATGGTTAAAATGGTAAATACTATGTGTATTTTATTTAGAAAACACAGTATGGATAGACTCTTGCAGGACCCCAGGAGGGGCCTGGCAACAGCTGGGCAGTCTGAGCTCTGAGCCAATGACACAGTCACCAGAAGTGAGGGGCTGCTACTCTCCCCGGACCCTCCTCCCCGATCTACCAGGGCTCTTCAGCCATCTGTACACTCGCTCACCCTCAGTGCAAACACCACATTAAAAAGAATCATGGTGGGAGCTTCCCTCTTCGGAGATGGATCTGTTTTGGAAACCTAGAAAAGAAATACATTCTAATGAGTGAGAGCCACCACATCCCAAGAAATCCTGTTTAGTGCTATCTGTCAGGCATGGGGAGAGGTTCCAGAATATAGCCAACCCAGAGAAAAACAGAGCCCTAGGGTCTTTGAGAAGTGATCACTGCCTCTGTATGGGCAAGCACAGGCAGCACAGACGGAGACACGGGTGAGACTAGAGTGGGAAGGTCAGCGCTATGACCCAAAGTGACAAGACTACCCCAGTCAATGGGAGTGAGCTGAGGTGCCCCCGCGAGACAAGATGGGGAGAGGCTCGAGCAGATGGGGTATTCTCTGCCCAGACTCTCCCTCCCCCACTGCTGTTTTCAGTGTCCACCTGGGTCCTCTGTCTCCGCCAGGTATGGCAACCACTCAGGACGATTAAGAGACAGGATAATGCTCAGAGCCAGCAGAGACCAAGCTGCTGCTCCGGCATCCAGCCACCGCACGTCACCAACACCAAGCTGAATACATGTGTTGCCACCAGGGGGCATGGGAGTGTGCGTGAGGGGGTGGTGGCCACATCTCCCTGGGCCATCCCAAGCAGGCTCTTTACCATCTCTGCCTGTCACTCCAGTTTGGTAGGGTATAACTCCTGGCAGGATGTCAAATCTCCCCTCTGTCACCCAGACGTCAGCCGTGCGGACTGAGCTCTGTCTGCAGGGACCTTGGTAAAGAGGAAGGAGCCACCCATGGGGCCCAGTGCACCCAGCCATGGCCTGATGTCCTGGCATCTCCAACTGCCTCAGAAGCTCCTTCCACGGGCATATTCATGGATAAGATTTGAGGACTGCAATTTCTGGATCATATAAATGGAGCTAAATCTTATGCCATCTTATCAAAGCCCTGATTGTGCCTGTGTGCAAAGGACTGACTAGCAGGTTCTGGTGTCAAATTCCCTTGGGTAACAGTGCATTCAATCTTGTTAAAACCCCTCAATACTGTAACAATTTCATTCATCGCAGAATGCACATACAGGGTTTAGCACAATAGTAAGAACTAAATTAATAATCATATTTGCTATGTCATCATTTAATAAGCAAGAAAAAATACTTGCACCACTTTAGAAACAGATGTCCTAGATATAAAGGGGAAGGTGGCAGTCAGGAAAGACCCAGGATGCAAAGAGCAAAAGCCAGGGGCAGGGACTGAACCCACGGGAGACCTATGGGGACATGTAGGTGATTGTATGCATGAACACACGCACGGGGTCAGATATATGGCATGATTCGATGGCTGCCTTCACCAGAGCCAGTGTGAGCCACGGCTCCCCGAGGGCCCCAGGGTCAGGATAGGCCATGCCTTCCCAGGGAGGGCCATACCTGCCCAGGGAGAACCTTACCTGCCCAGGGAGGGCCATACCTGTCCCAGAAAGAACCTCACCAGCCCCTGGAGAACCCCACCAGCCCCTGGAAGAACCCCACCTGTCCCAGGGAGAACCCCACCTGTCCCAGGGAGAACCTCACCTGCCCCAGGGAGAGCCCCACCTGCCCAGGGAGAACCTCACCTGCCCAGG